ATGTTCCCTCAAACAACTTGGTCGTCGCTCACCAAAGGTCTTTGCCAAATAGCACTGTAACTAGTTTTCCTGTAAATAAAGTGCAGATTCTGAAGCCTAGTCGACCTCTCAATTTGGGGACTTTCAACGTGCAGACCATTATGCAGGTGGGTCGACAGGCGTACCTTGCGCGTGCTATGCAGTCCCTAGAAATCGATGTCTGTTGCGTATCGGAGACACGAATTCAGGATCCAAGTATTATAAGCCACCTGAGTGCGCCGGGCCTTTCCTCGAGGTTGCAACACCAAAAGGTGTTTGTTCCTAATTTCTAAGTAGGCCCAATCCCTCTCCTCTTATGCTTTATCACTTGATTTGTATACATTGTGGGCTTAGCAGCGATCAGTGAAGCTCGCTTCACTGTATCTCGCTGTACGATGATGATGATGATGATGATGATGACTCGTTCTCCCCTCTGTTCACGTTTTGCAATCAGTCCCATGCCATATTTTCTCACATTGTTTATTATCCTCTTCGTGAGCACAGGCCTAGTCCGTCTGAACTGAACGCCTACCCATCCACTGCTAGCGTAGTGGTCTTTGCGTTTCCCACAGCTTAACTCGTTGGTTCGAGCCCCCTTTGTCCCCAATACATTTGGTCCTCCTATGAAAGACTGCGCTCAACAGTCGTCGCCCTGTGATGTGAAGTAAAAGGTCTGAGGTCGCCGTAATGTGCGAAACGGCATGGTTGATGGACCAATGAGGTCTACAGTTCATGTACGTGCGTGCATTGTGGCTGTCCGCACTGATCTCCATTAATACTGAGGGCGCCGCTATTGGGTGGCATTCATTTCATTCACATTTGGAGTCCCAGTCAGAAATGACCACCTTTGGAATTAGAATTCGTAATCAGTCGACTGTAGATAGCCAGCACCGATGTACCCACCATTGGGCGCGGTTAACCTCCATCTGCAAATCCTAGTGCGATTTAAATATCACCTTCAATCGTGTCATAAGTTCTCCCATGAAAGCAAAATACCTCGAGCATGGTAAAACTATTGGCATTCATAACAGTGCATCCAGATATTTTGAATTTTATTTAGTACACTTACTTAACCATTCATACCGTTCGTTCCTCAACACTCGTTTCTCCCAGTTGGCATTTCTGTGATCTTACTCAGTATCACACACGACCACTTTCATTAACACTTTTATACTACTCACAAGTAGTGAATATCATTTTATGTATGATTTCCTACTCGTTCTACCAAATCAATAGTCCTAGCGACCCTCGAAAACTCGATATTGAACTATGGCTTCACGACGTGACCATGAGTGGTTTTTGTTTAGAGTACACTACCGCCGGGGCGTTGGGTGTGCTCAGTTCCTTTCGTACGAGGCTCAATCAACAACATAAGAACCCTGATTATCAAGCTACAAAACGTGAGTGTTTGGCGTCCAGTTTTGGGGAAACGCTACCTTTTGATGATACAAAGCAAATACTCGTGAAGTCAACAGATCTCCTTAGCCTATCCATTAAACTTTCGGCATGTTTTATACATTCAATCAAGTGGACGAGGATGTCAACGTAATGCTGGTTGCGCCATTTTCCACATGTTCCCCACTCATTGATGACCTTGGGAAGACCCAGTCCAGTTTTCTGCAATATTTCGTTACCGAAAAAGTCAAATCGGAATTGTGTGCATTCCTGCAGACTCATCGCTGATATCCGATTCAAATCAGCTTCAGTTTTTACAACCATTAACCATGTATTTTTGTACCCCGGTTTTGGTTGCTGTCTCCTGACTGCCTGTTTGGATGAGAGAGTAGAAGAAAGATGGGACAGTTGAAAGTTGAGTCGAAGAGAAAGTGGTTAATTTCAGTGACCTAAGGTTATATAAAGATCGCGAAGATGCATGAGCACCGCTGGTTACGACTATCAGCTATATCATGCATTATCTCTAATCATTGATTACAATGATCTCGATGTCCCCATCCAGGTAGTCTAACCCGACCTATAGAACCGAGTTTTGTGGTTAGAGTTTTCATACCCAATCAACTAAGCTATCAACTTCTTAAGGTACACTAATCAAACCATATTCGTGGCTTTGGGATTGCTTTGATGGAGACAGTTTTATTCTTTTTCACTGTTCGCCACTGATTGAGATAAATAATGTGAACTACAACAAATTCGCGTTCCAGCATTCTGGAGTTCAGAAATGCGATAATCTTTCATTGAAACCTAATATGCTTCTATTCAGACCAATTGCTGATTCACGAAACACCAGATGCTCTGCTTGCAGTTATGTTTAGTTTTTTACCTGGTTGGGCGGATAACCAAATTTTTGAACGCGGAAGCAACTCGCGTTGCCCCTAACTGCATGTGCGCGCATGTGAATACAGCACAGTTACTGTTATGAACGCAATGTACGGCATGCGGTTTGGCTTTACCTTCAGGAATCAGCTATGGTTTACCATAATAACTGATCGAAAGTGAAATCCAATCATTACGAAGTCAAATGGTGCATTATTCCGCACCCTTACACACAAATAACAATGAGATAAAATCTGACTTTGATCTCGAAAACAGCTGGGGATGGTGCCATCAGTGCTGTTTATTGGCTATAGTGCGTCACCCGATGATCGTGCATGATGGTTTCACTTACATTCTCGCAACCCATACGGGAACTTAATGCAAGGGTGACTTCTACACAATCCGGGTGAGGTAACACTGCCCGAGTTATAGAGTTGACGCAGTGTTCGATCATTTGTGCATGATACTGTGCGTATGGTACATGACTGGTTTGAATTCAGGGTTTTAGCCAACTCCCCTAAGTGAACTACCAGTGATCCACCAGCCTAGTTCTATCCCCGGATATCAACTATTCGTCCTCTCACTTTGGTGGGAAAACATCTCCACTGCGGGAAGGCATTGAGTGGGGCTTCCACAGCAGAGGTTATTTGAGACGCTTGATCTAATGGGAGCATTCCGCGAGGTGCAAAGGACAGGTGACTAGCCGCAACCCCCGATGATACTGACGTTTTTGGAGGCCTGTGTGGCAGTAGCTCTTTCTTCTCTTCATTGCTCTTGTGTTTGATCTATGCGCAGGACATTTCAAGTCAAGTCAAGAAAAGCTTTATGCACCTAAAAGGTGAATTTTCAGCAGTTTACGAGTTTTACGGTGAATAGATAAAATAATTGTAACCAAAAAATACAGTATGAGAAATTCTGCACTTTAATAAATG